AATCTAGACCTGGAAGTCTTCTTCTAGACAAGGATTTCTTAACCAATTTTTTTTTTTTTGGTATCATGGACCCTTTTTGCAGTCTGGCAAAGCGTATGGACCCACTATCAGAAAATTTCCTTTTAACTTTTATTGAGGTGTTTTATTTTTATGTTGCTTACATTTACAGATCATTCCTACTTTGTGAGCGGTCTCTTGTAACTAAGTAAAGCAGTTAAGTAAAACTAATAATGCAGTGATCTCATTTGACAGCGTGTGTAACATTTTGTATCTGAAACCCCTCCTCATCTCTATTAAAAAAAAAAAACTAACAGAAATCTATTTTCTCTCCCTTCTACTCCCTTACCCCATAAAAAAGCAAATTTCGTGTAACAGATGTACATAGTCATGCAAAACAAATTCCCTCAGTGACTATGAACAAAAATATATACTCATTCTGTGTTCTAAATTCATCACCTCTCTGTCATGGAAAGCCTGTTTCATCATCAGTCTTTTGGAGCCATGGATGTCATTGTATTGATAATAATTTTGATAGCTCTCAAAGTTGTTTGTTTTTACACGGTTGTTACGGTGAAAAATGAAATAAGAAGAAACAGGAGAATTGTGTTTTTAAATACATAAAATCAAATGCCTGGCATTGCAAAGGAAGCCGGTTATATTGAAATACAGTTAACAATTTTTTTTTTTAAGTCCATAGACCCTAGGTTAAGATCCCTTGGTCTGGCCCTTTTAAACACTTTGTAGGAACCAGTACATTTCTCAGTTCCTGCCCTGGGGTGGCGATGACTTTTATTTTCAATTTTATTATCAAGGGATAATAAGATTTAAAATTGCAAGGTACCTTACCGACCATCTTCTAAACCAACCCCCTTATTTCTGAAATAAGAAACTAAAACCTAGAGAGGCTGTGATTTTCCCAAGGTCACACAGGTAATAAGTAGCAGAGATGAGATTTGAAAGCAGGCCCTCTATCTCTAAATCCAGCCTTCTTTCTACCAGTACAGGCCTGCACAACGTGCAGCCTGCCAGAGGATTTTGGGAGGCCCTCAAAGTGGCTCAACGGCCACGGGTTGTGCAAGCCTGTACTACTGTCTTAGCTCTAGGGCTAGAAAAAACTCGATAGGCCACTTAGTCCAATTTTCTCATTTATTTTTATTTTCCTGAGGGCATAATCTCTCACAAGGACACATACCATCAAGGAAAAGAGTGGGCACAGAAGAGGGAATACCAGTGCAAGTATGCCAGTGTGGATCCCCTTTTAAGCCTCTGACACTGAGTAGTTACTGATATTTTCTGGTGACGTCACTGAGCTGTTCCCAGAGGTATTGCTCCTTATTGGTATTAGGAAGTGTGCAGCTTTCCAGGGTATATAGTCTCTCCCAGTGTGTGGGCATCGCATTGCTCCCTGTTGGTATCACAAGGCTTCTGCCTGATAGAGTGCCGTTGTTTCCAAGGTCAATTCTTGTTGTTGTCACTTATTGCTTGATTGATAAGATATTGTCAGTCAAGGACTTCTCTCTTCTGCCGGCTTCTGGCTTTGGATGGAGTCTTCAGCTTCTTCCCCATAAGATGCAGAATAGACTAAGACCAATTATCTCAATTAAAGATGGAGAAACTGAGGCCCCCAAATGTTAAATGAGTTGCATGATGTCACGGAGGTTGTATCAGAGGCATGATTTGAATCCAGACCTTTTGACCAGAACTGTACCATCCTGTCTTCCCACTTTTCTTTTTAATGTCTGTATTATTAGTACTCTTGCAGCCTCTTCCCCTTCCTTATCTGCCAGTCTTCTGCCTCTGCTGCCCTCCTGTGCTCCTGTCCACCTTCCTGCCCTTCCATCCTGTCCTTCATGGCCCATGGAGGGGCTTATCCCATTGGTTTATGATAGTCTGACCTTGGAGCCAGATAATATGGGTTAATCAACCCCCAGGCGCTTATTGGGAGGCTAATGGGGGACAAAAGGAGATGAGTAGTATATGAAGGTATTTGGCTGGTCCTTTGTGGTCTCGCATCAGAAATACAGAGAGATAGATGATGATGCTGAGTTCTGAGGAAAAGTTTACTAAGCTTAGATTGTCTCATTGTTTTCAGCAGAGTAAAAGGCAAGTTCGCCTGTTATAAATGTGGGTGGAGGAGGTTCTGTTGCAGGGAGAGGAAAGAAGAAAAGCTCAGTAACAGGCGCTGTGGGAAATAAGGTAAGGAGACAATAAGAGAAGAGCTGAATTGTCAAGCAAGCAGCAGGGGCCCGGTGGAGGTTACATTCACACATTGGTGGATGACAAGGACATGCTTTTTGAATGTTCAGATGGCACAAAACCGAGAGTATAGCGGGTGGATGGATGACACATCTGAGATTCAAAAAAAACATGGACAGAGTGGAATGATGCACCCAAACCAGCCTCCCAACTCTTGCCTCTAAATCAGTTGAAAAAGGAGTGGCATTTGAGGTCTTACTTCTGCTAACTCACTCATTCTTTAACCTACTGCAACCTCAAGTCCCTCTTTACCACTTGACTGAAACTATTCTCTGATAGGTCATCAATGATCTTCTGATTGACCAACCCAATAGCCTTTACTTAGCTCCCATTCTCCTTAATTTCTGCAGTATTTATTCCCACTGACCACCTCTTCCGTCACGTAAGGTGCCTTCTCATTCCTTGGATCCCAGGACACCACACTCTCCTTGTTCTTTCCTCCTGAATCCCATATCCACATTTCCAACAGCCTACTAAGTGTAACTAATTAGATATCTTGCTGGCACTTCAAACTTGATATGTTCAACTCTGAATTTGTTATAATTTCCCCCATACTCTTTCCTCTTTCTAACTTCATTATTTTTGGTGGTAGAACTACTTGTCCTCCAGTAATACATGCTTGAAACTTCAGTTACCTTTCATTTTTCCCTCTCCCTCATTGCCCAAACTTCCAAGTTCTGTCAATTCTACCTCCAAAATATCTCTTGAATCTGTTTCCTTCATTCTATTTCTACTGGCATCTTCCTCACTGAGGCACCCATTTCCACCCACCTTGACTATTAAAATAGCTTCCTACCTACCTATCTCCCTGTTTCCAATATCTCCTCTCCACAGTCTCTCCTTTGCATCCATCTTCCTGATGAATAGATTGGATCATATCACTCTAGTACTCAGAATTCTTCAGTAGCTCCCTATTGTCTATTGGATAAAGTTTGGTCCTGTTAGCCCAATACTGAAGACCCTACACGATCTCCCAGTATCCTAACTTTCCAGCCTCATCATATCATATTTCTCCCAACTATATATGGCAGGAGTTGTGTGTGTGCTCTGTATTCTAGCCAAAATACCTTATGATGCATCCTACATACTTAGGATCTTGTCTTGTTCTCTCCTATCTTTCTATGCCTAAAATGCCCTTCTCTCCATCTCTACCCATTGAATTCCTACCGAGCCTTCAAAGAGATCCAGATGAAAAATCACTTAAAAAAGCTTCCCCAACATCGGAAATTATCTTCCCTTCTTTCCTTGGACCTGACATAGTACTTTGTATCTTTTCTATCTACTCGTTCTATTTTATACTATAATTATTTGTGCATATTTCTCATCCCCACCTTAGATTATAAACTTCATTATGGGAGGAACTCTTTAAGAATATATATATATGTATATATAATATATATGTGCATACATACATATATATCCATATCCATATCTTTAGCACAGCATTTAATAACTTGAATTTGATTGAATTAGTCGAATGCACAAATACAAAATTAGCTTGTATTCATTGTATATAAATTTGGTATATACCTATGTGTGCATATGTCAATCTTTTCTGATTATAAACCATTCTCCTCCCCATATACATTTAGACAGTAAATGCTTGCTGATTAATGATAGAATAGGAGACAGTGGGTTTAACAGTAGTTCACATGAAAAAACCTATCGGTTTTTAGCTGGCTGAAAACTCAATAAAATTTGACAGTGTGATGATATGCTTGCCAAAAAATCCAATTCTGTCTTAGGCTATGTTACTAAAAATGTAGTGTTTAGAACAAAGGAAGTGAGAGTCCTGCTGAATTGCACACAGGTCAAACCAGTTTTGAAGTATTGCTTTCTATTCTAGGTGCCACCCTTTCTAAGGGACTTTGGCAAACTCAAGCATACCCAGAAGAAGGTGGTAAAGGTATAACATGAGATAATAGTTGAAGGACAGGGTATGTTTCATCTGGAAAAGGGAAGATTAAGAGAGAGAAGACAAATTGCTTTCAAATATTTGAAGGGATTATTTCTTTTGGTTTCTAAAGACAGAACTGAGTCCAATCAGTGGAAGATAGAGGGAGAAAGATTTTAACAGAATACCTAACTACTATTACTTAAAGCTATTTCCCAATGTTTGTGAAGTAATGAGTTCTCCATCACTGGAAGTACTCAAGCAAAGACCAGATGACCACCGTTCCAGGGTATTAGAGAGGATTCTTGCATTACATTGGAGATTGGACTAGATGACCTCTAGACTCTTTTTGAATTCAAAGATTTTACATTTCTATTATAGAGTATTGTTGTTGTTTTTTAGTAATGTATGACTCTTTGTGATCCCATTTAGGGTTTTCTTGGCAAAGATACTAGAGTGGTTTGCCATTTCCTTCTCTAACTCATTTTACAGATGAGGAACTGAGGTAAACAGGGTTGAGTGACTTGCCCAGGAACACACAGCTCATTAGTATCTGAGGCTGGATTTGAACTCAGGAAGATGAGTCATCCTGATTCCAAGCCCAGTGCTCTATCCAATGCACTCCCTAGCTGCCCATCTATTATAGAGTACTATGGATTAAATAGGCAAATGCTAAGGGGATGCCTGTTGCTTGAGTAATCACAGTTTGGAGGCCTGCATGGTTAGTTGGGACAGTTTTATGGAGGAGGTTAGTTTTGAAATGGAGAGAGAATCATTGATGGCCTTAGAAGTGATTTTGTCACCCAAAATGGGGACCAAGATTCACCCCAACTCCTTTCCCTTCCTCCAGGAATATGAGTGTTTGGAGCAAGAAAATACCTCCCTTCGGAGAGAGATTGGGAAGCTGACAGAAGAGCTGAAGCATTTGAGTGATGTGCTGAAGGACCACGAGAAGATATGTCCCCTGCTTCACTGCTCTATGAACTTTGTGCCTATGGCTCGGCCTGATCCCATCACCAACTGCCTGCCCAGATGAGGCCCAAGGACTGTCCTTGCCACAGGGTGAGGGAGGAGGCCTGGCTGTTTTCAACTAGGATGAGAGGCTTTCCAATTTATGCCTTCGTGTACAAGGCTCTGTGACCAGAACTCTACCCACGAGGTGCTGGTGAAACCCTGACCTGTCTGCTAAAGCTCTGAACACTTAAGTGACCAAGTCTTTAGTTCTACTTTTTGTCTACTTTGGCATTTAGTAGCTTTCAGCTATCACTCAAATAGTAGATGACTTTTCCTCATTCTCTTTAGAATTTGGTTAATAAAAAATGACTTTTTATCTTTTCATCTCATTTCTCTAGGCTTCTAGCCCCACAGCAAATGTGACTTATTTGGGTTTGGATTTTTTTTTTCTTGCTCGATAAAGCCCATTAGCCTTAAATTAACTTCTTGTTTCTTGGCCAGTTTGATTTCATTTTTGATGTTTTAGTTTGATAATTATTATCATCATTCCCACAGAATTTCATCTATTTAGAGCTAAATGAAACCTTAGGAAATCATCTTGTCCATCTCTCTCCTTTTATAAAAAAGATTTTTGAAAACAATTATGAATGTAACAAACATCAACAAATACAAGGGTTTCCATTTTCAAAAAACAGAAAAAGATTATGGATGAAGCCACAAAGAATATCTATTAGGTACAGATTATTTTATAAAAGTATATATTAAATTTAATATTATGGTACCAATATTGCCTTGATTGTCTGTGTCCCCCATTGAATTTCCTTCTTCTCTCTTCTGTGTATTATCACCAGTGAGTCTCTCTGTCTCTCTCTCTGTCTCTGTCTCTGTCTCTCTCTCTCTCCTGTACCTTCTTTACAGATAAAGAAACTGAGGCCTACACTGCATACCCAAGATTGGCCTGTCCTTTTTGGTCACAAGGTGGGCGACCCAAGAAATTGTAAATGACTCAGAACTAACCCATACCAATTCATGGAGAGACAATTGAAGCTTATGTCCCACTGACATGAGTTTCATCTTTGAATACAGAGAATGGTACAATCAAGGAATGATACTTCGGTGGAGAAGAGAGGGTGTTTAGTAGTATTTCCCTTCCTATTTGTCTTTCCCCTGTGAAGGGAGCAACCAAAATAGGTCCTCAGGATGTGCAGAGGTGGCATTTAGCAGCTTATATGCTTGTTGTTTGTGTGGGATGAGGAAAAATTGTTTAACAATGGAAAGAAAAATTATCCAAATAAGTTTCTAGGGCACAGGAAGTATGTAGCTGAAGCACTGTGGGTAACTCAGGCAATTTTCACATTCACAGATGCTCTGGGTAGTCTGGGAAGGCAGTTAGGATGGGGCAATATATATGTTATGTTTATGTGTCCCCACAGCTTTGGTTGGGTGAGGGCACCTGCCCTAGAATTTTGGGGGAGAGGGTAAAGAGGGAGGACCAGTTCATCAAAAGAGTATCTGTGATATTATGGTCCTTTAGATTTTATTTTGAATTCTATGAACTATGTATCTGTGAAAGTAATTGGAGACTCCTTCCTATCCTTGTAGGGATGTATTTGAGAAACCCAGATGCTTTTAGCTGTACTGGGATAAGGATCTATGACCAGAACTCTTTATCCATGAAGTGCTGGTGAAACCCTGACCAGTTTCCTAATTCTCTGAACACTTAAGTACATCAAGTCTTTAGTCCTACTTTTTGTCCCTTTTGACATTTAATAGTATTCAGCTATCACTCAAGACACTCCCTCCCTTTCTTTATTGCTCTGGAGGGGTTGGCATAATAATCCTTTCCTTTTTTTTCTTTTTTTTTTTTTATAAGTGATGGGTCACTAGGTAGCGGAAGAGAGGGATATATTTAGAAATGAAGGGGATCTAAAATATTAATAAAAAGAAAAGGATATGTGAATCTTTTTTTAACATAACATACTATAGTTGTTTATACTTAGGGACCAACTGAATGATTTTCAAATTATGACCTCTAGGATGGAGTCCTGAAAGAGAGTGACCTACTCCTCACTATGACTGCTACTCTATTGTTGCACCTGTGGGTGACCTGACCTTCCCCCTACTCCAGAATCCCCACCAATATTTAAGGATAATGGAAATGCACACAGACCCATTTATGGATGGTATGGACCTGTGTGTGTTGAAAAATAAGCCTCACACTTGTGTGCTTTTGTGATAGGAGAACTAGGATCTACCCCAATTGGGAAGCTTTCCTGATAGAAGTTGGAAATTGGAATGAATTAAGGGTGAGTTTTTGACCATGCTTGGGGAACCATATCAGAAACGTGATTCAGCAAACTCTGTGTTGGGAATATGCCTAGGAAACTGATCACTAATAGTGTCATCATAATTAGTGTAAGGGGGAAGAGGTTCTGCCCTCACTTTAATTAACGGGGTCACAGAAAGTTCTGATACCTCAATTCAATCAATCATCAGACATGATTAGTCTTTAATGTATAGACAAGATATACCAAAGAGAATCAATCAATCAGCAGGAGTAAATGTTTTAAATGTTTTAAAATTTTCCTATAAATGTATAATAAGTTTTAATCATTAGACAGGATGATAGGATGCTATAGCCACTGCATGAAGGCTGATACTACCACCCAGGAAACATCTTGCTATTGGCTGAAAGAATCAGACACACACACACACACACACACACACACACACACACACACACACACACTTCCTGCTTTCCCTGCAGGCTTGGGGGCGAGGCTAGCAATGGACCAGTCCAGCAGGGAAAGATTTCAGTTAAGAAGATTTAGAGGTTCCAGAAGTACTAGCCATACCTTCACCATTGTTTATAAGCCCAAGACGAATACATTCATGGACTGGATACCCATATCTGAGATCCAATCAGCTAAATAGGGTTCTGTGGGTAACTTTGTGAGTCTACACTCCTAACACTTTAGCTTATGACCCATCCACCCTTCCTTATCTTGAGCTTCCCATTAATAATCAATAGAATAATTTTACATACCTATGTGTGTATGTATATATATATATATGCGTGTGTGTGTATGTGACACACACACCTATTTGTGTCTAATGGTAGCCATCTCTAGGGCAGGGGTGGGGAGAAGGGAAAAAAAATTTACATGATAACTTTGTTGTATATTTGGAGGGAATAGCAAGTTGTACATGGTAGATTTGCAGTTTCATGTACAATCATCTTTTTTATCGTACTATGTTATGGAAATGCTTGTTTTGTTCCATAAATTGAAGATAAAACAAATTTTAAAAACCCAATCAAGTAGACTTAGCTTTTATCAAAGTTGCTGTTCAGTTATGTCTGACTCTCTGTGAGCCCTTTGGGATTTTGGCAAAAATATTGGAGTGGTTTGCCATTTCTTTCTCTAGCTCATTTTTTTTTACAGATGAGGAACTGAGGCAAAGAGAGTCAAGTAACTGCCCAGGGTCTCACAGCCAGCAAGAAGTCAGATTTGAACTTACAAAGATGGGTCTTCCTGATCCACTGCATTTACTCGAATGGCATATCAAGAACATAATTACGAAACTTTCCCTCCACCAATATGGGGAGCACCTTCTTACAAATACACGTGACGCCCATGGGAAGAGTGTGCTCAGAGTACCATGGTAATGAGGCCCATGTGTGGGCCTTGTAGCAAAAGCAAAAGCAAGTAGAGTCATCATGTTAGGTTTCTAGGATTGGCTCATCTCCATGTCTTGACTCTCTTTTCTGCTTCCAGGGGACACATTCCTAGAAGCTGCTTCTTCTCAGATAATCATTTCTATGTATCCATGTCTGGTTTGTATCTGTCTACCCCCTAAATAGCAGGCAGCTAGGTGGCGCTGTAGTGCATACAGCACCAGACCTGGAATCAGGAAGATTCATCTTCCCAAGTTCAAATCTAACTTGAGACACTTATTAGTTGGGTGACCCTGGGCAAATTACTTGACTCTCTTTGCCTCAGTTCTTCATCTGTAAAATGAGGTGGAGAAGGAAATGGCAAACTACTCCACTATCTTTGCCAAGAAAACCTGAAAAGCAATCACGAAGAGTTGAATAGGACTGAAAAAAAATGACTCAACACACACCCTATAGATGCAGTATATTCTACTAATTTTCAAAGCTAAATGGCTGGGGGTTGGGGGGTGGAGAAGAGAAAGAAATTTCCTCTCCCTCCTCCTCTGAAGGAGTCTCCTCCACAGGTAACTCTTGGCTTACAATATTTTAACTGTCCATCTTGATCTGCTCTAAGATTTTACTTCCTGGTATTCCTCAGGGTTCAGCTCTTTAAGTCCCCTGAGGTATGATTCATTTTTCTCAATCATTTCTGTTATTCCCCTTCTTGACTCAGAGCAGAGAGCTGGTCACATCTGTAAAATGGATTAGCAATCAGTCTCACCTCCACAGTCGGTTTAACATTAATACCTTGGGATTACATTCTGGGCCTCCTGTGACTATATTAACTAAAGTGGAGATAGGGAAAGGAATCCTCACCCTTACAGAAGGGAAAGACTCACAGTTGTTCTATACTGGGACTGTGATGGTTCAGTAGATCTCCCCCTAGGTATGTTCCCTCCATCCCCTTAGGGACAAATTTAGACATTAAATAACTGGGAGGGACCAACACTATGAAAGTACATTTGAGTCATAAGAGGTACAAGTAACTTTCAGATGATAGCATAGCAGTAGCATTTTTTTTTTTACCTCATCAAGGGAGGTGAGCCATGTTTCTACATTGATTACTTAGACCCAAATGAAATAATCCTTTGTGACTCACTGCCACTGACCTAAGATTATTTTTTTTTTTTAAAGAAGAATGCAGGGGCATAGACTTACAGGAAGCTGGATTTACCAGAGGTTTGAAACCTTCTTTGAATTAGGGCCATGGATGAGTGGAGAACAGCTTTTCAGGAACAGTTTAGATGTTATAGATATCAATTCATGACTTTTGGGTTTTGTCACTGTACTGACCTTCCAATGAGGTTCTGGTCGACCTCAAACTGATATTGGAGTCAGGAGGCCTGAGACTCAAATCTCACCTCAGACACTTCTTAGTGCTTTGATCAGTTCACTCACCTCTCAGAGTCTCCATTTTGTTACGTGTACAATGGGAATAATAATATTTATACAACCTACCTCATTTATCTTGGAGAGCCATAGAAATATGAATTTTGCCTATTGAATATATCATCAGACTTGGTTGTTTTGTTGATTAGTTTTACTGATCTGTTTTTTTCTCTTTCTTTTTTTTATAAGTGCTGGTTCACTAGGTAGCAGAGGAGAGCGATGTGCTTAGAAATGAAGGCAATCTAAAAAAGATATACTAGTAAAAGTAAAAA